AATTAGGAGTCGACGCAGGAGATGTGCGACTGGAAGGGCGAGGAGGAGGGGAAAGGAGGAGCAAGTAATGTGTGTAGGTCAAGGGCAACGTGCGTTGTGCAAGCAAACCAACACGCCAGTCGCCCAACCACCGACCGAGCCGCGACCGCAGCGAAATAGCGGACATTCTCCAACATGCGGTGCGAGGGTCGTGGCAAGCACCACGCAAAATTTGCCTTGTTTCCCTGCCCGCCACTCGCCGCCGCCACACAAAAACCCGTTTGCTCCATCATCGTGCGATGCGGATTTTTCGTTACAAGTCTAACTGTTGGGGGTGATTTCAAATAAATACAAAAAATCTTTTATGTATACTTTGTACAAATGTGTATGCAGTTTGATATATAGTTTTAAGAGTTGTTCAACAAAGTTGAACGGAATGGCGAACATCAAACGGATGATACAATGAAAGATGCGAGATCATATAGTGGGCTAACCGAGCTAGGCGGGAACCTTGGTGACGAAGTTTAGTACAAGTTATGCACGGAAAATCCGAAGGCAACGTGAGGCAGCCTCAGCGTCATTGAAATGGACCGAACATGCACGTACGAGAGGTAAGGTTGTACGAAAAGCGATAAACCCCGATAATGAAACGTAGAATTTTCCTTATATTTCCCCTTCTCCCACAGTGGTAGCAACAGAGGGTCAAAGTAGGGTAACAAAGAAAGCATCGTGCAAAGTTTCGGCGAGATGGGCACTTGAAGATTCTTTGTATCGAGAAGCAATTGTCTCCTAACAACCATGGTGAAACTCGTGCATTCGCCTTCCAAATAACATGGACAGCTTCCTCGCAGAAGTCCGGAACTTTCATTACAAAATGTTGCGATCTCGATACCAGGTTCTTAGGGGTCGTCGTAGTAGGAAGAACGTGGAATTATTAGTCGTGTTGGATGAGGCGTTGTTGTACGCAAACTCCAACATCGGTAAAGTATTCCCCCACCGAGGGGTCAACAAAATTCGTACGGATGAATTGCTCCATTGTCTAATTGGTACGCTTGTTGGTGAAAAAGGCTCCGCCCTCTCTTTGCTGAAGCTGACTTCGCTGACCCGTACAGAAGGTATGCAGCGCAAGGCTTGGTGGTCGACGTTGACTTGGAGGAGAAAGTCGGTGGGTTTTGTTAGCTGACTTTGGCGAAGCCAACCACAGCGAAGCGGAATTTACCGGAGCCAACTTCAGCGAAGCCAACCACAGCAACGCCGACCAGACGCAGGTCGGAAAAGTAAATGTGGCGTATGGCATCAAGCCTTAGCGGTCGACAGAGGTGATTGTCGACATGGGGCCGACCTACGTCCGTCAGCCGATAGTCTCGGTGTCGGCTGAGCAGCCTCTAATGATTGACCAAACTATTGGTCGGCGAAACTCTGCGAGTGCACGAGTTTTGCGGCTTTGGCAAACGTCAACCTGCGTAACGAGCATCACGTGCTCTACAGCATTGCATATGTGCAATGTGTTTCTCATGCACGACGTGCACACAACTGTCTTAATCTACTTGGTAGGTGATACACATGTGCGTACTTAACTTAGTGCAATGCTGGCAAGCTGTCTTAGTGCAACGATGGTAAGCTGCCTTGCTACAACGTTGGCACGCCACCTTCTAGCTACGTTGGCAAGCCGCCTTCCCGTAGTGTTGGCACGCCACCTTCCGACTGCATTGGCACGACACCTTCTTGCGGCATGAACAAGCTGCCTTCATGCTTCGTTGGAAGCCAACTTGCTAGTTTAATACGTGTGTTGCATTTTGTTCCTGCTATATCGACTTGTTTTGCCATTGTGCGTTTGTTTCTATCTTCAATTCCTGATAGTAAAACTTCTGTGAATTTCACCTACAAACGTAGGGAGAATGTAAGCAACGCTTTGATCACCTCATACAACTGGTGGCCATTGATGCTTTTCATCTCTTGTTGTAGAGTGACTACTTGCGTGGTGCATTGAGCATTGACAGCCCCACGAGAGACCTTCAGATTAGACTGACATTGCGCATTAGTTAAGTCGTTGTTAGACCGGCAACTTTCGTATTGCCATGGTCGACTAAGAGGTTACTCCAGGAGTAAGTGATGCCCTACAAGCGTGAGACGCTGCAGTGCGGGAGCGCCACCAAGTTGGCGAGTTCGGTGGGGCAGACTTAGAGCTCTTGCTCAAAAGAATTCGTGCGGAGTGGGTGTGCGAGCATCGTCCTCCCCATGTAGAAGCGGACGGAGAGTCCGCCTCTCCCCGAGCTGGAAACGACAAAGGCGGCAGCAACCTCGTCGGCAACGAAGGCACGAGTCCGCGCGGAGTGCTTCGAGGGGCTGACAGAGCTGACGCCATCGGCGTCGATGGGACTCAGGCGCAAGTGCTGGAGTCAGCGGCTTCGGGCAGCTCGCTAGGTGACGTCGTCAGTTGATATTGCTCTCCTCGGCGAAGTGGAGTCAGACCGACTTGGATGTCATACATGTAGGCTCGCCAAGACGGTGGTATCGCCCCGTCGTACGGCTACTTAAAGTAATCGCTGGGCAAGATCGCCGTGCCCAAGCTACTCGAAGGCCGTCATGATATGACGATGCGAACAGCTGGGATTGAGCCAGAGATGGAGATTGCGCGACCGAAGAAGTTCACCGACGAGATTGTGGAGACGTCGGACGAGGACGACGCTGAGCTCAGGGGGTAATTTCACGCTGCTCACCTACCGGCTTTCATATTCATCTCGAGGTGCTTGTTGACGATGGTGCAAGTGGCACTAAAACCCTGTCGGTTACGTATGGTCATTGGCTTCCAAGCCTGGCAATTCACTTATGAGAGCGTACAAGGTGACAAGCAACCTCTAAATTATGGAGCAGTGGCTGACCAACATTAGCATGGGCGAGCATGAGTCGGCGACTGAGTACTACGCCGGGCTCGGTGCACTCTAGCCGACTTGCGAATGGCCGGGGTCGAGTACTTGCTATTGTCATACATCTCGCACATTTTCAAAAGACTTCCCCTGGGCTACAACTTGATGCCGTGTGTGAGCAACTCAACAATGACTCTTGGCGAGCTTCATAATTGAAGACGATTCATGCACTTGTCAGAGTGCCCAAGGAGCAACTCCTTCCGCAGGCCAACTACGCCCCCCCAATGCAGTAGGGGCGGCGTTTTCAAGTGCAGTGTGGGAAGTCGGGAAGAGGCGGTGGCTGGGGCGGAAAGTCGGCGAGCAACAAGTCAACGAGCGACGCCGACCACGCGAAGTCAAGCAAGGACAACGATTGCGGTGGCAGCGGCAGACACCATTGCTATGTATGTGGAGACGAGGTGCACTTTCCGTATGACTGCCCCCACTTTCCACTTCCCCCAAAAGACTGGCCCCACTAACTACTTCCCCCAACATGTATCACATTGTGGAACATTTTTACCATTGCTGTATGTGAAAGGTGAGATCATGCTCGTGAGGGTTGTTTGTGTGCGTTTACAATTGCGTCTGTTTTTGGAGAAGCATGGTAGGTGGATGACGTGTGCACGCTTGGCGTCCGCTTATTCGTGAGCGACCAGTCAGTTTGGGACATTTTCGTATAGCTGGGCCCGACCTATCACACTCGAAGGCCCCGTCGTGCTGCGATCCCTTTCACGAATTGATCAAACCCTTTTGACTGGAAAGCCCCTGAAACGACCCTGCAAAAGATAGTACGACTGCGCTTACACTAATCAGCGATGTCATAACGTTACTTTGCTGAGGTGTCGGATGCTGCTTCAGCCGAAAAAGCACTTCAATCACCCTTTCTGCAGCGTCGTACATTGTCGTACAGTCTAGCTCCGCGTCGCAGACCATCACACGCGAAGTCGCAGCACGTCGTTCAGACGACGAGATATTTGTGCGATTGGCGGGGGAACAGAAGCGAAGCAATTTTGTTGCTATTCGCGCCAGAGTCAGTTCTGTACTTGCTCCTTTCGCAAGAAACATCGTCTATATTTGGCGCCGCTATTCCGCACGACCATCCGTGAAATTTGCCGTAGCATTTTCTTTGCGCGACCTGCGCTAAGAGGCATGCGCAGGAGCTGCTTATATACAAATGGACGACCTGCATTGCCATAACATCGGACAGTGGATAATGCGTATAGAATAGAGGCCGTTTTTCTCCAGTCGCACCGCGCCGTATGTGGATAAGAGTTCCGTCAAGTAGGTTTGCGCCTTCTAGCCACCATTCCCATTATTTTTTCCTTCACTGCGCGCCGTCCAAATTGCTTCGAATACCGTTACGCTGCCATTCCTATTGGCCTTCTCTATTTTCACGTACTTTGCAAACCGTCAACCATTTCATAAGGAGGCCGTCGAAACCTATTTTAAGAAGCGGGGACCCCTTTCGGAAGGTACTCCAACAAGTAATTCGAGCGCAGGTGCCCATTTGGAAGCGCAGGTGTCAACTTGGAATCGCAGGTGCCAACTTGGAAGCGCAGGTGTCAAGGTGCGTGTTTTGGCTAACTTGAATTCAATCCATCGCCGCATGTTGCGATTGATTTTCGCCCGCGTTCCACCGCATTGTTGCTTCTGGGGTTTGATACGCTGCTGGTAACCCGCCGTGCGAGCAGTAACCGCGGGTAACCATGTCGCGAGCATCGTCCCACCATCACCCCGACGTTCTGCCTCCGTCGTTATGTCCTTGATGTTCGTTTATCCTTGCTATTTGGAAAGTCTAGAAGAACCAACTTGTCTCATTTTGTCCTTGCCACATCACCTGCCGTTTTGGTTTCCGAGGCGCCTAAAAATCCGTTCCGCCTCCGTCATTCTTCCCTGTTTCACCACGTGCAGTCTCTCGCGCTCCTCTCCCCTACCGCGTCTCTCGCAGCTATCAGTTCGTTCGACCCGCGTGCTCGCGCGCGGCTCGCGCGCGTTCCCTGCGGCCGCCTTGAGTCGTTCCCCGCCCTCCCCTCTCCGCTCCCCTCAGCCCCGGCCCCCTTATCTTTTCCGCCCTCCCCCTCCCCCACCGCGGTCCCCTCCCTTTCCCCCAAATCCATGCGCGCAGCATCCCGCCATGAAGGCATTCGAGCTGCTGGGGCTGGGCGCGCAGGACAGTGTGCAGACGCGCGAGTGGGGGAGGTTCGCTCTTCTCCAACCCCCTTCCTTTCCCCCCACCTCCCCCCCCCCCCCCCCCCCCCTCCTCTGCGCGCAGCCATGGAGGCATTCGAGCTGCTGGGGCTGGGCTCGCAGGACACGATGCAGTACGCGCGCGCGGGGGGAGGGGGGGTCGCTCTTCCCCACCTCTCTTCTTTTCCCCTCTACCCCCTTCCCCCCACCTTCCCCCCCTCCCCTCCCGCCCCCCTGCACGCAGCCATGAAGGCATTCGCGCTGCTGGGGCTGGGCGCGCAGGACACAGTGCAGTATGCGCGCGTGGGGGAGGTGGGGGGCGACGGCGCAGGGGACAACGACCACGACCTCGACCCCCTCGACCACGACAGCCACAACCACGTCGCCAGCTCCGCGGGGGGCGCGTCTCTGCGCACGCCTGAGAGTCCCCCTGCGCAGAAGCAGCAGCAGCAGCAGCAGCAGCAAGCTGAGCGCGCTGCTGAGGGAGCGCTGGATCAGGAGATGGCGGGCAGTGGGCGGGGGGGGGGGGGGGGGGGGGGAGGGGGACGAGGGGGGAGTGGTGTGGGGGAGGTGCGGAGGCCGCGGCAGGATGCTGCTGCGCCCTGGTGCTCTGTAAGTGAGGGAGTGAGAGGGGGAGAGCGGAAGGGATTGTGATTTTTTCACGGGGATGGGGAGATTCAGGTGTGGGACCGTATGCTGGGAGTGAGACAAAGCATGGTGCACACACCACACATGCTCCTCACACACATACCCCTCAATTGCTCAACTGTCATTGCCTCCCTCTCTTTCCTTCTCTCTCCCTCTCTCTCCCTCTCTCTCCCTCTCTCTCCCTCTCTCTCCCTCTCTACATACCCAATGGGTTTCTCATCTCGTTCTCTCTCCTTCTCTTTAAAGCCCGAGTTCCACATGGCTGTTTTCAAATTCAAGATTCTTGAATATGAACTCGCCAAAAACCAGGTTAGCACCCGAAGTAAAGCATTCCGTCGCTTCACAGAGGAGAGGTTTCACAACTAAGATGCATGATTGGCCAGCGACAAAACAAGTCTTCCGGGTGAAGTGTCAACGGGAGATGGAGCACTGCTCACATTCAGTAAACTTGAAAACCAAGTTGTACGAATGGGCAGCCATATTCAGGCAATACACGTAGTCTACTCCGCTGTTCAGGACCACAAGAGCGCGTGAGATCTCATTTGCGTGCATGGCAGCGAGCTGTCTGTATCCTTGCAGCAGCCTGTTTGTTGTTCTCCAAAAAAAAAAAAAAAAAAAAAGCCAGCATAAAGAAAAACGTCATGCGCCACTCCCATTTTTGTAGGGACGATGGCGCTCACATGTACGTTCGAAGCGCAAGGATCGGGCGCTTCCCTCACATGTACGTTCGACGCACCCGCTTTCGCCCGTCGCACTCCCTTCCGCGTGCCGGCACTCCCTTCCGCCCGTCGCCCTCCCTAGCGCCCATCGCACTCCCTTCCGCCATCGCCCTCCCTTACGCCCGTCGCCAGTCGCCATGCCTTCCGCCCGTCGCCCTCCCTTCCGCCCGTCGCCCTCCCTTCCGCCCGTCGCCCTCTCTTCTGCCCGTCACCCTCCCTTCGTCTCGTCACCCTCCCTTCCTCCCATTTCCCTCCCGACCACCCGCCGCCCTACCTTCCCCTCGTCGCGCTCCCTTCCGCCCGTTGCCCCCTTTTGTCACGCCGCGCTCCCTGCTGCTCATCGCCCTCCCGCTCTTCCCCTCGCAATCCCCGTATCTCTCTCCCCTCATCGCCCGTCACTGTCGCCATCCCTCCCTTCTCCCTTCCCAACTCGTTTGGACCAGTCACGCCCCCTTTCCAACCCGCACACACCCGTTCCTTCCCCCAATGATCACCTTTCACCACCACACTGCTTACCTCTCTCATTCCCCACATCATTTCCGGGCTCCCCACCGTTCTTCGGATAGCTCTCTCCCCGGCATCTCCCCCACTCCCCACGTCCTGCTTCCCCCCATCCTCTTCACTGTTTCCCCTGGGTTTCCCGCGCTGCTTCCCCCCATCCCCTTCCCTGCTTCCCCACATCCCCTTCCCTGCTTTCCCCCATCCCCTTCCCTTCTTCCCCCCATCCCGTTCCCTGCTTCCCCATGTCCCCTTCCCTTCCTCCCATCCCCTTCCCTTCTTCCCCCCATCCCTTTACATGCTTCCTCCCATCTCCTTCCCTACTTCCTCCCATCCCTTCCCTTCTTCCCCCCATCCCTTTACCTGCTTCCCCCCATCCCCTTCCTTGCTTCCCCCCATCCCCTTCCATGCTTCCCCCCATCCCCTTCCCTGCTTCCCCCCATCCCCTTCCCTTCTTCCCCCCGTCCCCTTCCCTGCTTCCCCATGTCCAATTCCCTTCTTCCCCCCATCCCCTTCCCTGCTTCTCCCCATCCCCTTCCCTTTTCCCCCCCATCCCCTTCCCTGCTTCCCCATGTTCCCTTCCCTGCTTCCCCCCATCCCCTTCCCTTCTTCCCCCCATACCTTTACCTGCTTCCCCCCATCTCCTTCCCTGCTTCCTCCCATCCCTTCCCTTCTTCCCCCCATCCCTTTACCTGCTTCCCCCCATCCCCTTCCCTGTTTCCCCCCATCCCCTTCCCTGCTTCCCCCCATCCCCTTCCCTGCTTCCCCCCATCCCCTTCCCTGCTTCCCCCCATCCCCTTCCCTGCTTCCCCCCATCCCCTTCCCTGCTTCCCCGTGTCCCCATCCCTGCTTCCCCCCATCCCCTTCCCTTCTTCCCCCCATCCCCTTCCCTGCTTCCCCCCATCCCCTTCCCTGCTTCCCCATGTCCCCTTCCCTGCTTCCCCCCATCCCCTTCCCTGCGTCCCAACATCCCTTTCTCTGCTTCCCCCCATCCCCTTCCCTTCTTCCCCCCATCCCTTTACCTTCTTCCCCGTGTCCCCTTCCCTGCTTCCCCGTGTCCCCTTCCCTGCTTCCCCCCATCCCCTTCCCTTCTTTCCCATGTCCCTTTCCCTGCTTCCCCCCATCCCCTTCCCTGCTTTCCCATGTCCCTTTCCTTGCTTCCCCCCATCCCCTTCCCTGCTTCCCCCCATCCCGTTCCCTTCTTCCCACCATCCCTTTACCTGCTTCCCCCCATCTCCTTCCCTGCTTCCTCCCATCCCCTTCCCTTCTTCCCCCCATCCCTTTACCTGCTTCCCCCCATCCCCTTCCCTGCTTCCCCCCATCCCCTTCCCTGCTTCCCCATTTCGCTTTCCCTGCTTCCCCCCATCCCCTTCCCTGCTTTCCGATGTCCCTTTCCCTGCTTCCCCCCACCCCCTTCCCTTCTTCCCCCCATCCCTTTCCCTGCTTGAGAACGCCTCAACCAGATCGTTGCACAGCTTCTGCAAGCAGCGTGTAAGGACGATATCTCTAAATGGGATGCGCACCTGCCGGTTCTTGAGTTTGTGTATAACAACGCCACACATACCGCAACAGGACATACCCCTTTCTTCCTCTATTACGGTCGCAACCCACTCACGCCTAAAAAACTGAGAGTACCCGCCACGGTGCAACCCGCACATAATTTCATTACTACTATGCACCAGTTGTGGGAGCGAACTCATAAACGCCTTCTGACTATCCAGGAGTGTCGTCGACCTGGAGCTGGTCGACCAAGGATGTAGTCGACCTGGTGTGGTCGACTGGAGGCGGTCGTCAACTTGGGTGGTCGACGGGCACGTGATTGAGCAGCTGGTCGACGTGGTTGCCCAGTCGACCAGGTTACCCGGCCGACGGGGTTCTGTGGAGGAGCGCGACAATCGCCCAGGTGGTTTTGGCGAGACCGACCTCGGAGGTGGTATCCCGAGGTCGACGTGGCTGATCAAGTGCAGTCGTCAGCACGGGGACGATTTGGTGTGTGCGCTGTGCAGGTGACGAGGCACAGCACGCCAATCATCTGCGAGCACCTGTGAAGCAGGTGCGCTGCTGTCATGCGGGTGCAAAGTTGGCACGCCGTCGACTTGCAACGCTGGCGGGCCGCGACTTACCTTCAGTCTAGTCGACTTAGTTTCCACTTACCTAATTTGTTCTTAGGCCGGCAGCTGTGCTATACGCCATGGTGGACCCCGTAGTGCAGGCGGGCGTTGTAGACACCCTGGAGGCACGGTTGGAGGATGCGAGGAAACGTCACGAGGCTCGTGAGTACGGGGAGACGCTCCCCTGGGCAGTCGTCGAGGCTGGCATCCGCGCTGTGTGGGCGACGGAGCACCCCTCTCGACCAGCCTCTCCTCGACCTGTGAAAACCGAAGGCGGCGTCGACGTGGGCGTCAGCGCCGGTGGTGACCAAGTCGGTAGCAGTGCGGGAGGCACGTCGAGGCAGAGAGGAGTCATACACGCCTATGAAGTCGGCGGCATTCAGGCGCGAAGGCTGCAATCGTTGGCGGCTGCAGGGTCCTCGCAGGGTGACGTCGGAGGACGTCGAAGCAGCGTGATGCCGTCGTCGGCGACCCATGTGACAGCGGGCGGGATAGCGCCGTCCTACGGCTACTTCAAATTTACGCCGGACAGGATCTCCGTCACCCCCCCGGTTGTTCGGTCGACCTGACATCCTCACGTGGAAGGAGGCCATTGAGCCCCAGCTGGAGATGGCCGGGCTGAAGTGCTTCGCCGACGGCACCGTGGAGACGCCGCCGGAGAGCAACCCCGAGCTGCGAGCGGAGTTTCGCTTCGCGCAGGTCTTGACCTTCACCGTCAACTCGCGATGCTGCTCACTGGATGTGCAGATCGCCTTGAAGTCGTGCAGGGACTACTTGGACGCCGGCCACCAGGTGTGGCTCTTCATCGAGTCGACGTACCACGTTACCGACGACTTGTACATCGGCCAGCTCGAGGAGCAGATGACGCATCTGCGGATTGGCGACCAGGAGACAGCGACCAACTACTACAACCGGGCTCGGCGACTTCTCACCACTATGCGGATGGCCGGCGCGCAGTACTCGACGGCGTCGAACGTCACACACGTCCTAAAGGAGCTCCCGAGCAGCTACAACCTGATGAAACAGCTTTCAGTGGTTTCGAGCACGCGGGCGTCGCTCAACGAGGACTCCCTGACGTCATACATCCTCAAGGATGAGGCGATGCAGCAGGCCGATCGGTCCTTGGAATCCTGCCGTTGGTGAACTACGCCGCTCCGCCGAAGCAATGTGGTCGACCGGAACAGCGCGGGCAGTCTGGCGGCAGTGGAAGCAGTGGTTGGAGGCCGGCTAAGGACGCCGACAAGCAGAAGTCGGCCAAGGAAGGCGGTCCAGGAGGCAGAAGTCGACGTTGGGAGTGCTGGTTGTGTCACAGCCTCGACCACCTCTCCTTCGAGTGCCCTGACCGCAGTGACTCCGACGACGACGACGACGACACCAAGGGAGGCCGAGGGAGGTCGGCTGGGCGTCGTCCTCGTCGGAAGAGCAAGCCGCGCAAGGAGAAGCAGTTGACCAAGTCGTTGACCTCGGCGAAGGACGCCGACTCCTCCTCTAGTGGCAAAGGGCGCGGCGACCAGGAGGCGTCGTGCTCGCTGGTCAGCGTCGTGGAGCCGACCGTCTCGCTGGCGCCGGAGGCCGGCGAGGATTTCCAGGCGGTAGCGGCAGCCGTGCAGGCGAACCCGGCGGTGGTCCTGCTCGACAGCGGCTGCTCGCACCACCTAATGGGAATGAAGGAGGTCTTCGTCGACCTGCAGGCGAGCGGCAAAGTCAAGCACGTGCGCGACTTCAACGGGGCCCTCCAGGACGTCGAGGGGCGGGGCATAGTCGCCTTGCAAGGGGAGGCCGGGAAGCGGGTGCTAATCCCCGACGTAATTTACGTCCCGGGTGTGCACGAGAACCTGCTGTCGGTCGGCCAGCTGAAGGAGAACGGGGTGAAGCTGAAGGAAAACGGCGACGGGATGTTGCTCGTCTCGGCGGCAGGAGAAGTTCTCGGTCACGCGACGTATACCGGCCGTGTCCTCTGCACCGACCTGCGTCCCTACTTGGCGAAGTCTGAGACGCCCACGACGGAAGTGGTGGCTCTGCGGGCGATCGTCTCGGCGACGAAGTCGACTCCGGCCAGGTGGCATGCACGGCTTGCGCACATCAGCGTCGACACCATTACGAGCTCGGCGAAGCACGAAGTCGCCACCGGCCTCGACATCAAGCCGACGGCCGGCACCGACTCGCCGTGTGTCTCGTGCGTCGGCGGGAAGCTGGCGCGGCACACCTTCCCCGACAAGGGCTCAGACGCCGAGGACGCCCTGGCCGTCGTGCACATCGACTTGTGCGGGCCGTTCCGGGTGGCTGCCAAGGATGGCAGCATGTACTTCTTGCTGTTGAAGGACCGCAAGACCCGCTACGTGTGGATGAGGCCGGTCGCCAAGAAGTCGGACGTACTCAAGAGTTTCAGCAGTGGCTGGCGGCGGCTGAGCGGCAATCGAAGAAGTCGGTGTTGATGCTGCGCTCGGACTGGGGAGGGGAGTTCCTCGCGAAGCAGTTTACCGACTTCGTGGACGGCAAGGGGATCATCCACGACTTGACCTGCCTGTACACCCCGCAGCAGAATGGCATGGCAGAACGGGAGTTGAGGACGGTGGTGGAGTCTGTCGAAAAGAAAGGCCCCGCCCTTGTTTGGGTCCAGCCGATCTCGCCGTCGACGGGAAGTTCTCGACGGATTAGTCGAAGAAGTGGGCTTCTGCAGTTCGACGGAAGTTGCGGTCGAGCAAGCTCTGCTCGACAGAATCTGGTCGACGAGCTCTGCGCGACGAGCTCTGGTCGACGATCTATGCGCGGCGAGCTCCCGTCGAAGAGCGCTGGTCGTCGATCCTGGTCGAGGAACTTTGGTCGAAGAGTTCGGGTCGAGGAACTCTGGTCGAAGAGTTTGGGTCGAGGAGCTCTGCTCGGCGAACGCTCTTCGACCGAGCGATGTCGAGCTGATCGACCGAATTCGCAGAGGAGTGCGAAACTCTGCAGAGGAGTACGAACTTTCCCCCAGGAGATTTTGGCGAAGTTCAAAAAGACCGACAACGCGTTTTCACCTACTTGGGGAACTTTCACCTGGCGAAACCGACGACACGTTTTCTACCTGGCACCAGCGCAATGTGCCTGATGGTGAAACCGTCAACCTGCACCTACTTGGTAGGTGCGCACATCTGCGCAGATAGACAACCTGCGACTGCAGATAGTCACCTGCGACTGCAGTGCTGACAGACCACGTGCAGTGCAACGCTGGCAGACAACTCTGCTGCAGCGTTGGAAAGCCGCTCCTCTACTGCGCTGACAGATTTCGCCCTTGCTAGGTGTTGCATGCCATTCTAGTTCTTTTGTTCTGCATGCCTCAATTGTACCATCAACTTTTCAATGCAAGTTGTTCTTTCAACTTTCCTTAGTGGAATTCTTGCCAAACATCTTTGCGAACACAAGCAAGCAGTAAGAACGCTAGTGCAAGCTGCGATCACTCGCACAACCTCGTGCCCTCCACCATAGTCCACTCCCGTTGTGTAGTGACTCTCCGCAGAGTCGGTGCGGACGGTGCTGCTGCACATGAGCGTGCAGCACCACTAGTGGCACCTCGCTATGCGGCAGGCTGTCTGGGTCCGCAACTGTCTTGAGAGGTCGACGCTGCCGCCGGGGACGACGCCGTACCAGCTGCGGAAGAAGCCCGACTTGTCGCTGGCACAAGTGTGGGGCTGCATGGCGCAGTTCCTGGTCCCCGAGCAGCAGCGTGGTGGAAAGCTAAGGCCGAAGGCCAGGTGGGGCCTTCATCTCGGTGTATCGGAGGAGAGCAAGGGATGGGAGATCCTGGACCTCACCGAAAACAGGGTGGCCACCACGTCGGATGTGGTGTATACGAGACGATGTCGCTGGAGGTGTGGAAGTCGGAGCACGGGCCGGCGTCAAGGCGGACGTCGGTCAACCCTCCGGGGGACACCTCGACGGCGACACTGCCACTGCTCGCCGAGGTCGGTGAGCTTGTTGATGAGGACGCCGAGGTCGTCCGCCCTCCTTCCCCTTCCCCTGCCCCTCCTGCCCCACCCCTTCTCGCCAACCTGCGTCAACTGACATCGACGTCGGCCAACGGCGATGAGGGGAGAAGTGGGGCGTCTCCTATGGCGCCGGCCAAGGGCATCGCCAGTGGCCGACGTGATGTCCAGCCAGTCGGCATGGGAGTGAAGTCGACGCCGACAAGGGAGGAGCAGGCCAAGGCGGTGCAGCCAACTTTGGTGAAGCCGGCGAAGGAGGCATCAGCTGGGAAGCCGCCAAGAGGGGAGCAGCCAGCAGTGAAGCCGACCACGAAGCAGTCGACGACCGGGCAGTCGGCAGGGGAACCGACCGCAGGGGAGAAGTTTGCAGGCAAG